GGGAAAGGGGGCGCAGAAAAAAAGCCGCACTTTTGGGGGGGCAGGATTCGCGAGCTGCTGTTTGGCCATGGCTGGGCTAGATAATCATTCTCAGAGAGTAGTTATTAACGGTTTGCAGTCATGCTGGCAGGGTGTAACAAGAGTGGTCCCACAGCGGAATGTTTTGGGACCAGTTCTGTTCAATATCTTCATCAATGATTTAGAAGGTGGTGTAGAGAGTACAATAATTAAGTTTGCAGATGATACAAAGCTGGGAGGGGCTGCAACTGCTTTGGAGGGTTGAGTCATAATTCAAAATGATCTGGACAAACTAGAGAAATGGTCTGAGGTAAACAGGATGAAATTTAATAAGGACAAATACAAAGTACTCCACTTAGGAAGGAACAATCAGTTTCACACAAACAGAATAGAAACTGATTGTCTGAGAAGGAGTACTGTGAACAGGGATTTAGGGATCATAGTGGACCACAAGTTAAACATGAGTCAATGAAGTGACACTTTTGCAAAAAAAAAAAAAAAGAGGCAGCAAACATGATTCTGGGATGCATTAACAGGAGTGTTGTGAGCAAGACACGAGGTCAGTCATTCTTCTTCTCTACTCTGTGCTGATTAGGCCTCAATTGGAGTATCGTGTCCAGTTCTGGGTGCCACATTTCAAGAAAGATGTGGTGAAATTGGAGACAGCCCAGAGAAGAGCAACAAGAATGATTAAAGGTCTAGAAAACATGATCTGTGAGGGAAGACTGAAAGAATTGAGCTTGTTTAGTTTAGAAAAGAGAAGACTCAGAGGGGACCTGATAGCAGTTTTCAAGTATGTAAAAGGGTGTTGCAAGGAGAAGGAGGGAGAAAAATTGTTCTCCTTGGCCTCTGAGGATAGGACAAGAAGCAATGGTCTTAAACTGCAGCAAGGGAGGTTTAAAAACTTCCTAACTGTCAGGGTTGTTAAACACTGGAATAAATAGCTTAGGGGGGTTGTAGATTCTCCATCACTGGAGATACTTAAGAGCAGGTTATACAGACACCAGTCAAGGATGATCTAGACAGTTCTTTGTCCTGCCATGAGGGCAAGCAGGGGACTGGTCTCAATGACCTCTTGAGGTCCTTTCCATTTCTAGGATTCTACGATAAATACTATTGTGTACCTATGTAAATTGCTTAAATTGCAGCAAGAGAGGTTTAGATGGGGCATTAGGAAAAACAGAGTGGTTAAGCACTGGAATAAATTGCTTAAGGTGGTTGTGGAATCTCCATCACTGGAGATTTTTAAAAGCAGCTCAGACAAACTGTCAGAGATGATCTAGATGGTGCTTTGTCCGGCCCTGAGTGCAGAAGACTGGCCTTGACAACCTCTGGAGGTCCCATCCAATTCTGTGATAATATTAAAAAAATGGTGATGTCCACACAGGGGTTAGCTGGATAACTACATCAAAATTACACTAGTGAAGTGGATCAAAAGAAATGTTTGCAGTACCATAAACTGAACTTCAAAAATGTCAGGACTGCTTAATATAATGTTTTCTAAATGATTTGATGTCTAGTATTTTAGAGCATAAGGGTTTTTTTTTAAAAATAGTAAAGTGAATAAAGAGAAAAGTATCTTCCCAGTGCCTTAATTCTAAACTCTGTTTTCCTATTGGGTTGGATTGTATTTCACTTTTTTCTGTTAGGTGAGAAATTGGTTCCAGGTGCCCGAGAAGTCCTCACAGAAATATTTAAGAGCTGTGTTCATTCTGAACAAATGCTGAGCCTAACTCCTGCGAAACCGATTAAAGTTGCTGATATTTATCTTAGCAAAGAGCAAATAAATTCCCAGACTCCTGGAAACCTTCTCCATGTGTTTTTCACAAATGTACGTCCACCAAAGAAGGTGCTCGAGGACCAACTCACTCAGGTATCCCTATGGAAAACACCTTTTTGATTACTCTCCTGGTGTAATTTGGAACTATTGGGTAATCCTTCTTTTCTCTCTTGGAAGATTTTAAGGAAATACGGTGTGCCCAAGCCCAAGTTTGATAAGAGCAAGTATAACAAGGGTGGCAAAGAGCAACATCCAGTGAAAGTTGTGAGCTCCAAACGTCCGGTTACTAAACCACCTGCAAAGGAAAAGTCTGTGCTCAATAGTGTCAGGTTAGTGCCTTGTACTTTTCTCCAGTCATAAAACATCTGAACTAGCTTTTTTCTTTATAGTATTCTTACATACTGGGGTAGAGAAAGTGATTTTAAAAGAGTTTAAAAAAAAAGGAGATGTAAAATAACTCGTGTCTTTGAAGACTTACATCATCTCATATGCTAAACAATATTTCATATTTTGAACTGATAACACACTCAATTATAAAAGGCAAGGAACTTTCTAAACAAAAAAATGCTTCTATCTCATAGCAGAACAGCTTTAAGTGAAAAGAAACCTATTGTAAAGCCAAAATCTCCAGAGAAGGGCAAACCTGACGAGAAGGATCCAGAGAAGTCTCCTACAAAGAAACAAGAAGGTAAGCGCTGTCCAGAAATTCTTCTCATTACTTAATCCAGGGCTGGGCAAGAGGCAGCCCAAGGGCTGGATCCGACCCACCTAACACTTTGATCAGACCCGCGGACGGCATCTGGCCACTTTCTGTTTATATCCTGCTGCCTGGGCCACCGAATTTCCAGGCAGTGGCTCAAGCAGCAGAAGTCTGTTTAAATGGTGGTGCTGGAACAATGAGCAGGAGCCGGAGCAATGAGCCTTTTAAATAGCCACAGTAGCCTCGGGTGGCTGCCAGGCAGTGCAGTAGCAACAAGACTGGGAGCTGAGAGTGCTTTGCTGTGTTTTTAATTCAAAGCCTCCAGCCCCAGATAATTATGGCAGTAGGCTAGTCCCCAACACCACCTCTTTCGCCCCATGCTCCACCTTTGCTGGGGAGGAGCCGACTGTGATGACATACCAAAATCCATTATGTGGCCCCCCCTGCAAAAATTATTGCCCACCCTTGACTTAATCTCTGAAAACATGATATCAAAGGGAAAAGAATTTAAAAATAAAAATTGGCCAGAAAGAGCACGTGTCTTTTTTTTCTTTTAAAGAGTTTCATTTACAAGTGGTCTAAAAGATTAAAATAATTGCAAATGTTCACCCAGATTCCATTCTACTTATATCAGTGTGACTCTGGAATCACTGGTGTAAATGAGAGCAGAACTGGACACAGTGTACTTAACACTTGAAGTAGGGAACTAATCTTCCTCTTTGTCCAAAGAACTCACTGTATAAAGGCTATGTGTAATGGTGCTTGCCCTCTGTGTTCCTTAGTTTTAGTTTGGAATGGATTTATTTGTAATGAAACTTTTATAATCTATAAAACTGAAATGACAGCTTCAGAAATACTACACAGCTCGCATGACAATCTTGAGTCCGGTACAGCCAGGCAGAGATATAGAGTGCAAGGTTCTTGCTTTATATTCCAATCCTGGCCTATCTGAGGTTAAGAATAGGGTCTCATTTGGTGGCCTCACCTTCGGAAACAGGGTGAATTCTGAAGGGAGTTCCAGCCTCAGTCATCAAACATGATGTGTGCCCCATGTGCAAGCTATAGGACATCAACCTTGGGGAACTAGCATATCTCCTCCTCGGGCAGAAATGTTCCTTGATGGAATGCAGGATGGAATCTTTAATAAGGGAGAAATGAACCCTCTTGGGTTAAAGCCTAACATTTTCAGGTTTTCTTCTTGGTTGGGTTGTCCTGGAGTTCTCCTTTGTGGAGAGGGCAAGGCCGGGGAAGCTGTCAGATAGCTCAAGCTTAGGACATGATTTAAGGGTAGCCAGACAAGAGCAAACACTCTAGAAATAAGCCTGTGTGATGCACATTATTTTCTTGGTTAGTTACTACAGGTTGGACCTCCCTGGTCCAGCACCCTGGGGACCTGGCCTAGCCTGGGCAATGGAGTTTTTCAGACCATGGGAGGTATGGGGTGGGGTGGAGGATGCCAGACTCCCAGCTGGACTCCTCTCCCCAGCGCTGCAAGCTGCAGCAGCCTTCCTGGAGCTCCTGATCTTGTGAGCTGCGGCAGCCCTGCTGGAGTTACCAGTGGCTCTGCGAGCCTCGCAACAGCCTTACCAGAGGTCCTAGTGGTCCCAACAGCTATTGGCTCTACTGCCTCATGAACTTCTCCCTCTCCTAGCTTCCCTGCTCTGCCAGCTGCGGTGCCTCCACAGCTCCATCTGCTCCTCTGTCTGAGTATGCTCCAAGCCACGAGCAACCTCTTCTGCTGAGACCCTCTGGTTCCACAACATGCATGGTCCTTATGGACCACGGATGTTGCCAGTCCAGAGTCCTGAACCATAGAGATTCAACCTGTAGTGGTTTAATAATAACATCTTTGCTATCAGTTCCAGAAGAGAAATATTTGACGCTGGATGGATTTCACAGATTTGTTGTTGATCGAGCCAAACAGGACATCCGTAGTGTGTGGAGAGCCATTTTGTCCTGTGGATATGATCTGCATTTTGAAAGGTGCGATATATGTTCTGTAAAAGTGGTAGAATTCAGTGTTTATTATGAACAAGTTTGGAATGGTTCCATTTTACTACATGTAATCTTAAATGTAGTAATGCTAAATATACTTTGGGACACAGCTAAAAGGCCTTAACATAGAACTGATGAATAGTTTATTTAATGATCCCAATTCATATTCAGCTTCCAGAATGATTGTTGCTGGCTTCCACATGCACATGCAAGTTAGGAGGATCACACCTGAATGAAAACTGGTTAAACAAAATTAATTAATTTTGTCGTCTTACTTCCAAAATGCATAATAAATTGACCTATCAAAAAGTCTTTTTCCAGCTCTTGCCTCAACTGGCTTTCTGAGGCTTCCTGTCACATCAATCCTGCATTCTGTGGCTCCAGGTCCTAAAACTGCTCTGGTAGATTCTCCACTTGTTTTGAAGGAGCCAATATAGAGCAGAATGTTTCATCGTCATGTTACTTTCTTCCCTGTTGCCATTTTGAAGCAGAGATCTCCCTTAAATGAATCTATCCTTTTCCCTAATTTCAAGCTGCAAATGACCTACCATAATTCCACTCTCTTGTCTGCTTACGAGCTCAGAAAGCAAGCTTAGTTAGCAGGTAATGAAAGTCAGGCAAAGGTGGGGGGGCACGTAATGATTCATTTTCTCTCATACTTGAAGTAGTCTAATGTCTGAGCTAAAGGAGGTTGGGGAAAGGGAAGAGGAAAGACCCCTAAAGCCATTTGGCTTCCTGGTTCATGCAGCCCAGGGCAGTGTTTGCATTTAACAGTTCTAATCCCTGTGCCCTTCAGGTGTGCCTGCATTGACACAAAGCATGCTCAGAAAGCATCCCGGAAGTGGACGTTGGAAATGGATGTAGCCCTTGTGCAGTACATCAACCGACTCTGCCGTCACCTTGCAATTACCCCAGCACGACTGCACCCACATGAAGTGTATTTGGATCCCGCTGATATAGCAGATCCCAGAGTCTCTTGTCTGCTAAGTATGTACAAATTAGGGGGTTTCTAATTATTACTCCTTAAGCTTTGTATTCCTGCTCAAGTCATGGTTAAGGATTGATTACAGACAGGGTCTCAAACTCAGTTTACCTTAGGGCAGGGGTTCTCAAACTTTGTGATACCGTGACCCCCCCCCTCTAAGTTGCTCATGACCCCCTGGAGGTCGGGACCCACAGTTTGAGAAACATGGCCTTCATTAGCCACTCTGGCAGGCAGATCTCTCTGGCAGAGTTCGAGGGAGGCCCTGGGGTTCTCCTGGCCCCACTGCCTCCTCCATATGATTTACAAACAGTGTTCTCTCTAAGATTTTCCACCCGTGAGCGGAGTGAGTTTTGTCCTATGCACCAATATTGAGGTCTCGTGCACTTGTTCGGATGTGTGCCACCATGGCATCCAAGTTATAAACCAATCCCTTTTCCCTCTGGTGCTATGTCTCCCATCCTCCCCTCACCTACATTTCTGCTTCCCTGCTGCCTACTGCTGCCTCCCACATCTCACCCTGCTCTGCTGTCTTGGCTCCTGCCCTTCTCACTTCCCTCAGCCCTCCTGGGACTTGCCCCCTCTCTGACCCCTGCACCTGCCCTTCTCTTTCTCCCCTGTGCTCACCCCTCCTCTAGCCCCACTCTGATCATCTGTTCTACCCACCTGCCCTGCCTCTCTCTGCCCTCTGGTGCCTGTCCCTCCCCTTCACGTGTCTGTCCTTCTGCTTCACCCCCACAATCCCTTGGCATATGCACCTTCTCTTCCTCCCTCCACCTGCCTGGTGCCTCCCCCTTCCCTCACTGCCTCTGACCTCCAGCCCTCTTCCTCCCTGATGCTCCACCCCTTCACCACTCTCTGCCCCAGATCCTCTCATGCCCCTGTGCCTTCACATGTGACTTGCTCCGTTCCCTGCCTTCCTTATGCCCACCCCTTCTTTCAACCCCTTTTCTCCTGGCACCCACTTCTCCCTTCTTCTTTTCCTCCCTCTGGCTCCTATTCTCCCTCCCTTCTCCCAGCATCACCCTGTCCCCTTCCTTCTCCCACCCCCACTGACACCTTGCCAGATCCTCTCATGCCCCTGTGCCTTCACATGTGACTTGCTCCGTTCCCTGCCTTCCTTATGCCCACCCCTTCTTTCAACCCCTTTTCTCCTGGCACCCACTTCTCCCTTCTTCTTTTCCTCCCTCTGGCTCCTATTCTCCCTCCCTTCTCCCAGCATCACCCTGTCCCCTTCCTTCTCCCACCCCCACTGACACCTTGCCTCGCCTCCCCCCACCACCCTTTCCTTTCATTGTCTCCTTTTGGCCCCCTGGCATTTGTCTCTCTTCCCACCTGCCCCTGGGGGGCC